ACTTCCATTTCCTAGACTTTTATATAAATGTATTCATTTAGTATATACTCTGATTTTTTGGTATGGCTTCTTCCCCTTACATAGTTATTTTGAGACGCAGCTATGTTACAGCATGTATCAATAGTTCATTCCCTTTTATCACAGAGTACTGTTCTATTGTATGGGTATGCCACTGTTTGTTTATCCATTCACTAGTTGATGGACATTTGGGTTGTTTCCAGTTTTTTGACTATTAAAAATAAAGTTGTTATGGAATGTTCATTTATAAGTCTTTTTATGGATATATGCTTTCATTTCCTCGGGTAAATACCCAGGCATAGAACTGCCAGGTCATATGGTTGGTATATGTTTAACTTTTTAAGAAACTGTCAATCTGTTTTCCAAGGAAGTAGTACCATTTTACAGTTCCACCAGCAGTGTTTAAGAAGGAATTAGAGTTTTAAAAATTTAAAAATATCATGATGACTACTTGAACACTCATAGTATAAAAGATGTACATCATGTGCTGGAGAAGTGATGTGGACATTTAAGGAGCCTGTATCATATTAGCAAGTACATATATACACTTATAAAGATAACACTGTACAATGTGACATTCAGTGTCAGGTGGGAGGTCCAGATAATGAATGTGGGAGGAGTCTTTGGCCTACTGTGATGAGAGAAAGATGACTAAATGAGGCAGAGCTCTCTCTAGGATGATTTAAACACTGGCAGAAAAGAGCTACAAGCAAATTCATTTGTTAGGTTAAATTAACATATTGATGTCTAAGCACTCCTATCCCTATGAACCAACCACTCTTTATTACTCACCTGCTTCCTAAAGGTATCTATTGGCATTTTTACCAGTTAGTTATTACTACATAACAATTCACCCCCAAATAAATGGCTTAGACAACATTTATTCTTCCTCATATGTCTATGGGTCAATGGGGCAGTTTTGCTGACTTTGACCAACTTATTTCAATCGCTGGTCTCAATCATGGGTCAGCTATGAGTTTAGCTGGGCGGCTTTGCCACTCACCTTACTGAACGTGGTCCCCTCCTCCAGCAAGCTGGTCCAGGCTTCTCACCATGATTTAGGCTGGGAACTAATGTATTTTCTTGGCCAAAGCCAGTCTCAAGCCCAGTGCAGATTCAGGGAACAGAGTGGAGCTACAAAGTCACCGCAAAATGTACAAGCGAATGGATGAGTGGATAATCAGTCATTTTTCATCCAATCCACCACATCATCAGAGACCAACTTGCCAACCATCTTTGAGTATTCAGTGTAATTCCTTACCTGACTGAGTCATCTAGCTAGAAACTAGCTGAGACCAAAAAAGTAATAGGTCCTCTGAGCCAATTCTAAGAAGCATGGTTGTCTGGTTGCCAACCTCACAGCAGACTAAAAGCTTTCAAGTTAGAAGCTGCATACTGACCTATATACCACCAATACCATAGTGTTCAGGGGCTGTGTATACAATCTAGAACACAAGAGTCCAATAGGATTAGAGTCTGAAAAGGGCAAATAGTATTTGGCGTTTTGTTTCAACAAACATATAATGCATTTTGTTAGGGCCTAGGGCCCATCGATAGCCAATAACCAGCCATTAGCTTCTGTATTATGCTTGCTTGCTTAGGAGAGTGGAAAAGTTTCAGTTGACCCTTATCTGATTCCACACCCGCCATTCTGACTCTGCTAGTGTTATTAAGTTTAGAAACTAAGGAGAAGGGTGGTGGTGCATGGCACAACTGCCTGCAAGATATAGCCTCTAGGCCAGGATCAAAGTGCCCTGGACCCCTGAGGCACCTGACATGCTTCGTGTACCCAGTGGAATGTGTTCTGGCTTAGATCACAGGATGCAGATGTACCTCAACTAAGATTGATGTTGTCTGTAAATCAGGATACTTCAGGGGCATCCTCTGGGCTGAATCTTAACTGCAGCTGGTGACTCCTACAAAACCCATCTCAAGGCTCCAACCCCTCAGTGTGCTAAAACAAGATAAGATTGTAAGATTGATGCATTCTCTCACTTCTGTAAAAGTGCTTGCTAATCAGATTTTTAGAGTGTGTTTTTTTCCTTTAAGAGAGGGCCGTTTTTCCATTCTCACCACTACTTCCTGTGCCTGCCACTATGCAGGACAGGAGTAGTCCTGGCCAGTAAATAAAGACTCACAATTTGGCCCAATTCGGTTTCTAAGGTGGTCTTTTCTCGCACTTCAGACTATAACACATTTTGTAAAGATTCTCACCCCAAATGATTTAAGTTTCACATAATAGTGTTTTGTGTCTAGTCCCACCTGGAACAACATCCCTAAGGGACCCTTACCCGTACCTGAAGCCAAGGAATCATTGATTTATTGGCAGACCTCACTCTCGATCTAGCTAGTTGCTCTTCTCCGCTTCTTATGAATGAACCATGGCTTTGTCTTCTTTCGGGGAAACCAAGATGGTGGGTCCCACGGAATTTCTCCATTCCAGGAGGAGCCGAGAAAAGATAGCCTAACAGTGGGTTTCCTATGCATCTCCTGAAGAATAAATCTCCCTTCATGTGTTTCGAGAAGGGCTTCCACTAAACCACAAACTCTCATCTATTCCGGGATTTGGTCAATTAGCATCTGGGGAGAAAGCCCCCAAAAGCGAAGAAACCGCCCCCGGCTTCTTCCGCTGGCCCCGAGCCTCGCCCCTTGCCCTTTCATGCCCAAGGGCATCGCCCGGGACAGCGCTCAAAATACAGCTTCACGTGCTGACCGCCCCTGTGAATTCGCATTTTAAATATGCGCCGCAGGGAACTCTGATCAGTAGGTCAGGAAACGCCACCACGCAAAATACCCCTTCGGCCCGCCCAATGCCCCGCCCCATCCCCCGCCCCATGCCTCGCCCGCCCCCGTTTCGCTCAAAGCCCGCCCCTGCGCTCCACGCTCCGCCCTCTGCTCTCCTCTCTCACAGGGACCTCTCGAAGAAACCGGAACCCAGCGCGAGAGGGCACCCGGGACGGGGCCTTGCACGGGGACAACTGCGCGCGCGTGCGCGGGCTCTTGCGTCATTCGGCCGCGCCCAAGTTTTCCACGGCGGCGGCCTTGGGTCCGGGAGGCAGCGGTGGTGGGGCCGTAGGTCGGCTGGGGCAGGTTCCCCTCGGCGCTCCCTCATGGAGGAGGAGGTGTGCACGGCTGTAGCCCCGGATGCTCGCACTTCCCACTGGACGGCGACGAAGGCGGTGGCCTCGCGAGCGCAGGAGGGGGCGGCCTCTGCGGGGGTGTGAGCCGAGGTGCCCGTGCCAGATTGCCGAGGAGGAGCGGTGCGGCCGGCCTGCCCACTGATGTGAGGTCGTCACTCTTTCCTTTCAGGCAAGCTTGAAGGGGCTGAGTTGGAGGCGAGCCTGCTCGTTTTGGGTCGGGGAAGAGCCCTTCAGGGGCAATTTTCCTTTCCGGGTGTTTTGAGTTAAGGAAGCTGTTTTCCTATTAATTCGCAGCGAGGAAGCCCATCGTGAATCTGATTGCCATTCAGATCCCACCGTGAATCTGATTGCCATTCAGATCCCACGGAAACCTGGCTCTTTGGTTGGCCCTGCCAGGAGTGCACGTTCATTAAGTTTATTAAATGGTTTTTATTTGTCTTGGTGAATTTTAGAAGATGGTTTCAACTACTACAGGGGTAATAACTGACAGTTGAACAAACCTTAGAAATGTGCTGTAACGTTTTGAACAAGGCTGTTTTAATTCCCTCTTATGAAAGCGCTGAGTCCTGTTTTCCTCTCCACACGGTTGCACAAAACTCTATGTTTAGTTTTGTGTTTGTTCCTTTCTAATTTCTTTACTAGATTGTCAATTCATTTAGTACAGGACTACATCTTAAGTTCTTTTTCTAGAAGTTTTGTACATACCATGTGCCCAGTTAGTACTTTTTTTTTAAGTTAGAAGAGGAAATACGAGACAGTAGAGATCTTTCATTCCAGTAAGCTGTCTGTTGAAGCAGTATGTTATGCTCGATTAAGTAGGTTTCATGTTAATTGGTTAGTAAAATAAGTATGGAGGCTAGTAACCAAATTTTAAAAAGTACTTGGTAACCATTCAGTTCTTTGGCCTACTTCTGTATTTTCTTCTTTCTAGGCTGGAGCTACTCTGCGAGGGTTTAAAACTTTAAATGGGAATAAAAGGTAGTATTTACGATGAAATGAGAGTGAATAAATCATCTCTAACTTCTTCCAGCCTTTTTTTTTTCATAATAGAGACCATATTAAATTTTCATGTAAGTTAAAATTTTGATTTATAACTAATGTTGCTAAATTAGGGCTGGAAATTTAGATTCTGTAGTATTTATAAGTACATACTGCTTTTAAGAATAATTAGCCAAATGAGAGGTTGGAAAAAAGTTAAAACTGACTTTAGATAGCAGTGAAAACCAAGCAGAAGTAAAGACAGAACTCTAAAGTTTTGATATGATGTGGCAGCCAATTGCAGAAGTACAGTCCACTACTTTCTGTGTGATTCTCTGCATTTGATTTTACCTCTGGGAGGTGTGATTTCTTTAGCTGTAAAGTGGGGATAATGATATATTTTTGTGTAGAATAGAAGTGATGAATATAAATCACTGGAACAAGACCTAGGTAGGTACTCGATAACTGGTAGCTGCTATTGTTAGGAAGAGATCATAATAAAAAAGAATTTCACTTGCTTTCAGGATATGAGGTCTGTCTGGAAAATATTCAGCCATTGGTAATATAATGAGAACGGTTTGCACAACGTTGATGTAAACTGGCAGCCAAGGAAAGTGGACTATTGGGTATATGTGAACAATGATGACTTCATTCTACTAGTAAGTGGGGTGCTAGATGCTGTTGGGTGAGCATGTGTACTCTGTGGCCATTGCGTTCAAAATGACTGAACAAGTAGAGCAATGAATCTGCATGAAATTTTGCATTAAGCTTGAACATTCCTCCTAGGAAACCGTTTGGATGATTCAGAAGGCTTTTGGGGATGATGCAATGAGTGCAGTGCAAATAAAAGTGTGGCACAAACGTTTCAAAGATGGTCAAGAATCTGTTGAAAGTGATCCATGTTCTGGAAGGCCTGAAACAGGCAGAACACCTGAGAATGGTTGAACATGTACAGGCTGCAGTCAATATAAAGATCAGCCACTGACAGCGTGAGAACTAGAAGCTGATCTGGGGATCCAAAAACTACCGTGTCCTAGATTTTGATGCATAATCTTGGCATGAACGTGTAGTGGCAGAATGCGTTTCATGGCTTCTGCTACCAGAGCAGAAGGAACATCGTGCTATATTTGCTAATGAGTTGCTTCAAACCACTACCAGTGAACCACATTTCCTCAAGGAGGTCATAACCAGAGATGAATCCAGAAACGAAGGCCCAGTTGTCCCAATGGAAGTCACCTGGTTCTCCACACCTAAAGAAGGTACGGCAAAGACAAAGCAAGATCAAGACCATGTGTTTTTGGTTCAGACTGTGCTTTTTGGTTCAGAAGGTGTTGTCCATCATGAATATGCTCTTCCGGGCCAAACAGTTAATAAGGAGTACAACCTGAATGTTCTTCATCAGTTGAAAGATACAATGCAACAAAAAGGGTAACAGTTATGGGCAACTGGCGACTGGCAGCTTCCTTACGAGAACGTGCCTACCCATGCATCACGTCTGGTCTTGGGCAGAGTTTTTTTTGCGAAACATCAAATCACCCAGGTGATTCAGCCCCCCTACAGCCCAGATTTGGCGCTCTGTGACTTCTGGCTTTTCCCAAAACTAAAATCACCTTTGTAAGGGAAGAGATTTCACACCATGCATGAGATTCAGGAAAATACGATGAGGCAGCTGATGGTGATTCCAACAAAGGATTTCACAGAGTGTTTTGAGCAGTGGAAGAGATGCTGGGAGAAATGTGTGAAGTTCCAAGGCGCCTACTTTAAAGGGGAGTGAGGTGTCACTGTCCTGTGTACAGTGTATCTTGTATCTTCGGTAAATGTCTCCATTTTTCATACTACATGGCTGGATACTTTCTGGACAGATCTCATATTTTAATGTATAAACTAGTTCACTCATATTTAAGACACATGATTTTAAATACATTTTTTCCCTCGTAGAAGGTATAATCTTCATCCAAACTCTGATTTGTTTGGTGTATATTGTGATGTTGAGCAGAAAGATAGACTTCTTTGTGGAGAATAAAGCAGTTATTACTGGGGGATTAAGGTAGAGGAGGAATGGGAGATGTAGGTCAAAGGTACAAAGTAGCAGATGAACAAAGATGAATAAAGGATGAACAAGTCTGGGGATGGAGTGTACAATGTGAGGACTATAGGTAATAACATTGTATTAGGGGTTTTTGAGTAGATTTTAGCTGGTTTTGTCACAAAAATGTAACTATATGAGGGGATAGTTATGTTAATTCCCTTCATTCTAGTAACCATTTCACTATATGTATCCTGTAGCATCGTATTGTAAACCTCAAATATACACAAATTTACTTAAAATTAAATAGAAACCTCTACTTGATAACAAGCTAAAAAAGAGGACCTCTCTGTATTGTAGAACTAAGAGCACCCCTCAGACTAGAGCATGCTCAGCACATTAAACATTTGTGTATATCTGACTATATTTGTTTTATATAAATAAACCAGAAATAGAACAACTATCTAAAGTTCTATAATGGTTCCAGAGAAAATAAATTATGACCTAGCAAGAGGATTACAGATCTGTTCCATGTGTTTTAGATTTGCTTATAGACTAGGGCCCCACATGATCTGACACTCACTGTTTTCCTCTGCTGTGATATCTCACCTACCCTCCCTCCCTCAGGGTAAGCCACAGCGGCCTTTCTTTTCCTAGAAAACTACACCTGCTTGTACCTCAGACCCTCTGCACTTTCTTTTTTCTCTCTGCTTTGTTCTTTTCCCATCTCTTTGAAGCTTTTGCTCAATGTGACTTCCTCAGCAAGTCCTCCTAACCACCCTAACTAAAATACAACTCCCCAGTGAGCTTAACGGGCTTTATTTTCACTATAGCATTTAACTGCTTTCCACTATAATGTCCTCATTTTGTTGTTGTTGTTTGTTTCACCCTACGTCCAACAGAAGGTAAACTCCGTGAGGTTAGGGTTTTGGTTTTATTCACTGTTGTGCCCCTATTCCTAGAGTATACTGTGTACTCAGTAAATCTTTGTTGGTTAAGTAAATGATATAGGCAAACCATCTCTTCACAGGGAGCCACAGTGAAGGTGATAGGGGTTATGTACGTAAGTAACTGAAATACAGACTAGAAGAGAAGTGTCCAAAGAGAGGTGTAGGTTAAAGGTTAGGGAATTCAGGAAATTTTGTGATGACTCTGGCTTGTGGAATTCAAGCAGGGCTTCCTTGTAGAGGTGCTTTTTGAACTGAGAGGGTAGTGTAGACAAAAATACGGAGGAGGAAAAGTAGGAATAGGTTAGAATGGCAACAGTGTGCTGACGTGTGTAGAACGCAGGATGTATGAAATGGTATTGGGGGATAAGATTTAAAAGGTATATTTGGAACCAATGGTAAAGGGTCTTAGTGACTAGGTTACAAAAATGGGACTTCATTCTGTCAACAGCTGGTAGTCATTCTAAATGTTTAAGCAAAAGAAAGACTGGCAGAGATGTGTTTTATAGAGCAGCACGGCAGCATCATATGTTTTAGCCAGACCAGGATTGGGTGATACACAAAGGTACAGGGTCTGGTTAACAGAGCAGGCGCAAGACCGCATTTCAGTGGTAGAAGCCATCTGGCACTCTTGGCCCTTGTGTCCACTCTGGGTGATGAGGATAGTGAAGCCATTGTCAGAGTGCAGGGAGGAGCAGATGGGGCAGAGAAGACCACCTGCACCGAGAGCCTGGTCTGAGCTGCAACTTGGTTGTGTTCTGCCTCTGGGACTAAAAGGAGACTCCAGTGGGAAAGACAGAAGGCTGAGGATGAGGACCGTATGCTAACCCCAGTTGGGTGACAAGTTACTTAGCATCTCTGTGTCACCTCATCATGGGCCCTTACCACATATCTTTTCAAGCATTTGTAAAAGCAAAATGTCAAAAGTATTGTGACAAGTGGAAAGTTGTATATGTACTTCAGTTGGTATAATTTTTAAAGTTTGCTGATTTTGGCGATTGTGTGCTTATTAGTCATTTTTTTTTTTTTTTTTTTGAGACAGAGTCTTGCTTTGTTGCCCAGGCTAGGGTGAGTGCCATGGGGTCAGCCTAGCTCACAGCAACCTCAAACTCCTGGGCTCAGCAATCCTCCTGCTCCAGGCCTCCCAAGTAGCTGGGACTATAGGCATTCGCCACCATGCCCGGCTAATTTTTTGTGTATATATATATATATATTAGTTGGCCAATTAATTTCTTTCTATTTATAGTAGAGACGGGTCTCGCTCTTGCTCAGGCTGGTTTCGAACTCCTGACCTCGAGCAATCTGCCCGCCTAGGCCTCCCAGAGAGCTAGGATTACAGGCGTGAGCCACTGCGCCCGGCCGCTTATTAGTCATTTTGCAAAGCAAATCTTAATTTAGGTTTTCCTCATTAGAATACTAGTACATTCTTTTCTTCCTTCCTTTCCTCCTCTCTTTTGTTTCCTTCTTTCCTTACTTTCTTTCCTTTTTCTTTTTTTCTTTTTTCTCTTCCTTTTCTTCCCTTTTCCATTCCCTTCCCTCTCCCTCTTCTTCTTCTTCTTTTTTTTTTTTTGAGACAGAGTCTCACGCTGTTGCCCAGGCTAGAGTGCCATGGCATCAGCCTAGCTCACAGCAACCTCAAAACTCCTGGCTACAGCAATCCTTCTGCCTCAGCCTCCTGAGTAGCTGGGACTACAGGCATGTGCCATTATGCCCGACTAATTTTTTCTATGTATGTTTTTAGTTGGCCAATTAATTTTTCTATTTTTAGTAGAGACAGGGGTCTTGTTCTTGCTCAGGCTGTGGTTTCGAACTCCTGACCTTGAGCATTCCTCCCGCCTCAGCCTCCCAGAGTGCTAGGATTACAGGCGTGAGCCACTGCGTCCGGCCTCCTTTCTTCTATTTTTGTCTCACTCCGTTACCCAGGCTGGATGGAGTGCAGTGGCACTATCATAGATCATGGCAGCCTCTAATTCCTGGACTCAAGCAGTCCTGCTTCATCTTCCCAAGCAGTTGGACTATAGGCACACACTACTATGACTGGCTAATTGTCTTTTTTTTTTTAATTTTATTATTTTTTTTATTTCGGCATATTATGGGGGTACAGATTTTAAGGTTTCAATAAATGCCCATTTCCCCCCTCCCCCCACAAGTCTGAGTCTCCATCATGACCATCCCCCAGATGGTGCACATCTCACTCATTATGTATGTATATACCCGCCCCCCTCCCCCCTGGCTAATTGTCTTTTAAAAAAATTTTTTTTTAGAGACAGGTCCTTCTCTGTTGCCCAGGCTAGTTAGTCTCAAACTCCTGGGCTCAAGTGATCTTTCTGCCTTCACTCCCAAAGTGCTGGGATTACAGGTGTGAGTCATTGTACTTGGCCACTAGACCATTTTATCCTGTTCCTTAAATTACCTGTTCTCCACATTATTTAAGAAGGTGGACCAAGTTCATTTTATTTTCTTTGAGATATATTTATTCCTTTCTTGATATGCTTTCATTTAATGAAAGTTTACATTATAAGTATTCATAAATATCAGTAATTGTGAAAATCAAGTTTGTTAAAATTTAGAACAAGCTGAAAATTCCGAGAGTCTTTCAAAGTGTGTTTAAAATTTTAATAGGTTATTTTTAGAATGTTTAATTCTCAGCTGTGGAGTCCTTGAGATGGGACCTTTGATCATCTTTATAACTTCGGTGTCTGGCACATAATAGTTGCTTAATATGTGTATTGAACAAATGGCCACACGTAAATAAACCTAATAGGGGTTACTCCACTTGCGCCCCTCTAAGTAGTAAGGTGGGCAGGTTATCAACTGGCATCTCTGGTTTGGGAACCTAATTGAAGTGAAATTTAGCAAAGTTTTGTTTAGCTGTCTTTAAGCCTGCCCCTGCCTCATGGCTAATCCTTAAGAATAAAAATCTCTCTGTTGCAGGCTCTCCCAGCTGTGATTGACCTTCAGTTACAGAGGGTGGGAGCAGAGTGTCACCAATTCTGAGAGTAACGACCTAACACATTCCTTTTGGGACATTCATACTGTTGTCCTATTTTCAAACTGTAAGTCAAAATGAGATAATTCATTTTCTTATTTTACTGACTAAAGGCTGCTTTATAATTTGAGGGCTTGTAAATTTTATATTGCTTTCCCATCCCCACATATATACACACAGGTATAGTTCCATGAGTGAACAAATAACCAGATAGCCTCACTTCTAGAAAGGGTTATAAATCAGATTTGCCATCATAAATGAGTGCCTTTTGTGGGGAAACTACCACAAAGAACCAAAGTAATTGTTGTTAAGGAACTTAAGTGTTTATCTTCAAAGATAGAACTTGAGAATTTTATGAGGCTGACCATAAATAAAATGCTCATTACCTTGGTGAGGGCACCAAGCCATTTATGAGGAATCTGCCCCCATGATCCAAATCCCACCCACCAGGCCCCACTTCCAATATTGGAACTCAAATTTCAACATGAGATTTGGAGAGGACAAACATCCAAACTGTATCAAATACAATGAACCCTTATTTACCCGTTACCCAGCTTTAATAAAGATCTCTATTTTCTGCAAATAATTTTTGGGTTTTTAAAAACTAGGGTGGAAATTTTATACTTAGCATAGTAAAACCATTCATGTACATGTTAGCTATCTCAGTGGCATATGGGAATAAGCATTTATGATCATACAGTTTTGTGGGTCAGCTGGGATAATTATTTTCTGTGCGTTTCACTCTCTTGTGATCAGTGGGCTTCCCAGGGTATGCTCTTCACATGGTGATGGCAGTGTGCAAAGGTTCAAACTGAAGTGTAAGAGGCTGGCACTGTATCACTTATACCTGCCTCCCATTGGGCAAAGCATGCTTGATGGCCAAACCTCAAATCAGTGGGGTGAGGAAGAATAGTCTTCTCATTGAAGTGTACAGGAACCATAATGTTCCTCAGCAGGCAAATTAAAAGCATTTGTGTTTGGATTGATACCAACTCAGTGTAATAATACCGTGTTTATCATTAGTATGTCATCACCCCCTCCTTAACTGTCTCTTATCTATCTCCCTAATGACTCTTAAGACTAAAGCTATTAATCATTAAGCATTAAGACTAAAAATGAGGCCAGCACGGTGGCTCACGCCTGTAATCCTAGCACTTTGGGAGGCCGAGGTGGGCGGATCACTCAAGGTCAGGAGTTCGAAACCAGCCTGAGCAAGAGTGAGACTTTGTCTCTACTAAAAATAGGAAGAAATTAATTGGCCAACTAAAAATATATAGAAAAAATTAGCTGGGCATGATGGCACATGCCTGTAGTCCCAGCTATTCGGGAGGCTGAGGCAGGAGGAATGCTTGAGCCCAGGAGTTGAGGTTGCTGTGACCTAGGCTGAATGAAACTCTGTCTCAACAATAACAAAAAGACTAAAAGCGATCACCACTTTATCCAGAGAGCTTAGCGTAATGCTTAGCACTTAGAGCATCATATATCCAGTAAATACTGTTTGGGTGGGCAGATAAAGTAATTGAGGGGCTATGTGCACAGGAGTTTAAACTGCCTTGGTTAAATGCCAGGGTCTGTAACTTGAATAAAAAAACTTGGGTAGTTAGTGAGGATCCTGAATGAATTGCAGATTAATTCTGGGACTCGGTAGTTAAATCGTGGGACTAAAAATCTCAAGACATACTAGAAAGTTGGACCAAATTGTGGCGCTAAAAATCCCAAGACATATTGAAAAGTTGGACTGGCAGTTAATTATAACCAATCAAAAGCCTTGTTGCTAAGTACTGTTTTTTCTCCGCTATCCATGCTTTGCTTTAGTTCATTTGTCAGCTGAGTTCACGCATTGGCTATATGGGAAAAAAAAAATTGCAGGTGGTTTTGTGGATTGAACTGTCTAGGTCCTCATGTTCTCTAGGAGTCATCTTCTGCTAACAAGATAATGTGAAATCTGCTTTCTCTCAACACATCCCCAAATAGGCTAAATAAATTACCTTATGCTTATATCCACATATATTTCTAAGAAGAAAATGTATGGGTGGAAAAGTTTGAATTTCTCTATAGATTACTCAAAAGGACACATTTGTGAAATTAATAAATGTGTTTCTAAACTAGATTTGTATATAGTTAGGCCTGATTTTTCTGTAGAATTTTTTTTTCATCATTGGCAAAGTTGATTACAATGGACCATTAGATAAGACTAGAAACTTTTTTTGAAATATAGAATCAAAGTTGATAAAATCAATTTAAACTTGTATCATGATCCCATCTTTTGCCATAATTGGAAGAATTGGTGCTAAATTTAAATAAGAAATATATTTATTATCAATGTTAGTAATGAAAATATTTTTCCTTTATGAGAAGAGAAATGGAGTAAAATTTTGAATTGCATGTGAGCTGTCATGATCATTCTATGAAAATCTCATTTCATTTTGTATTGTTTAGATTTGGAGACTGCATCGTCCTGCCTGTAGTACCAGCAGTTTCTCTGTTCTGTGATCAATGTGATTCACAGGAACCTCTTAAGTAACAAACGAAATGAGCCAGGGGCGTGGAAAATATGACTTTTATATTGGTCTGGGATTGGCTATGAGCTCCAGCATTTTCATTGGAGGAAGTTTCATTTTGAAAAAAAAAGGTCTTCTTCGACTTGCTAGAAAAGGCTCTATGAGAGCAGGTACGTTATGCCCTCTGTGACTTTGAAATGACATCAGTGTGTACTTACTTACATACTCATGTTCTTTGTGGAAGACCACCTCTTCATTCCTAGTAAGTATATTTGAAACTCTGGACTGTTCAAGAGTTGTAAATGTTTATAGAGAATCAAACATCAGTTTCATCACGAGAAAAATAAAAAGTGAAAAGATGTCAAAATTAGTTAATTCCTGCAGTTATTAACAAAGTGAAACAGGGACTAATGGCAAATTAACATCCAGCCTTTTCTTTAAGTTTCAGTATGTCTTAAGAGAAGAAATAAGGGTCTCCTATTTGAATTAGAACTTATTTTTTGTGTGTGTGAGATATATATTAGTTTATTACTAACGTAGTTATAAATAGTGTACAGTGAGGAAAAACTCCTACAACTGAAAAAGTTTCTTTTTATTTATTTATTTTATTTTTCCCCCAGCATATTGAGGGGGTACAAATGTTAAAGTTACGTATATTGCCCTTGCCCCCCCCTCAAGTCAGAGCTTCAAGCGTGTCCATCCCCCAGTTGGTTTGCATCGCATTCATTGTGTGTGTATATACCCATCCCCTCCCACCCCACCCAATACCCAATAAATGTTATTCCTATATGTCCACTTAGGTGTTGATCAGTTAATACCAATTTGCTGGTGAGTACATGTGGTGCTTATTTTTCCATTCTTGGGATACTTAATAGAATGGGTTCCAGCTCTAGCCAGGAAAATAGAAGAGGTGCTATACCATTGTTTCTTATAGCTGAATAGTACTCCATGGTATACATATACCACATTTTATTAATCCACTCATGTATTGATGGGCAATTCAGTTGTTTCCACATCTTTGCAATTGTGAACTGTGCTGCTATAAACATTTGAGTACAGGTGTCGGAATCAGAACTTATTGAAGGTTGGGATCTTTTGTTCATGATAGTAAAAGTTCTGACTTTTACCTTAGACATTTTTTCTGATGATCTCAAATTGGCAGGAGGGAAAGGGAGCTTCCCTGGCTTGAAGGACCCAGTTTAGTGAATTTTCTGTATGATGTAGGTTGTTTCCCCAGGAATTGCCAACAAGTCACAAGACCTTGGGGGATAGTCAGTGTGATTGACCCCACTGACACCTCTGTCTGAGGCATTCATGACAGATCTCAGTGTTATGTGGCATAATTGTCACATCCAAGGTGGCTCAGACCTGTAATCCCAACACTGTGGGAGACCAAGGTGGGAGAATTGCTTAAGGCCAGGAGTTCAAGACCAGCCTGAGCAAGAGTGAGACCTCATCTCCACACAAAATAGAAAAATTATCCAGGTGTGGTGGCACACGCCTGTAGGCTAGCTGCTTGGGAGGCTGCACCAGAAGGATTGGGCCTAGGAGTTTGAGGTTGCTGTGATGACACCACTGTAGTCTTGCCTGGGCAGACCCTGTCTCAAAAAAAAAAAACCCAAAAAATAACAACAAAAGTAAAGTAGTAATAATCAGCAACTGAGATATTTTTAAATCTGTTATTATTAGTGGTTGTCATAATTTATACAAGAGTCTGATGATCTTCCAAAGATGTGAATATTTCTTCATTCACAGGTCAAGGTGGCCATGCATATCTTAAAGAATGGTTGTGGTGGGCTGGACTGCTGTCAAGTATGTATAGACAACATTTCAAGAAAATATTATAGCTATATGTTAAAATACTCTTATAGCTTCAAATTAGCAAATATAAAAACTTTAAATAAATCTTGTTTTTTTACTTAACAAAACTAAAATGTATAATATTTAAGCCTGTGAAAGTCATTCAGCAGTTTAATAGCATATTTAATTTGAATGTTAAGACTTTTTTCTCCATCTGATTAAAACATATTTGATACACCTAAGTATTTTTTAAAATTCTCAATTTAAGAAGGTAAATTTGAAAGTGAAAAGTTTTAGAAAAATCCTGTTTTTAGTTTTTCTCCCTCTTTTCTCATTCCAGTAGAAAAGGAAGTGGGTGTGTATTTGGTAAGACTGTCCATGCTTATTTTGATGATTATCTTTAAAAAGGTACATGAAAAAAATTATACTTAAGACTCTGAGCCTTGACTGTTTTACAGTATTTATTAATCATCTCTCAGATGCCAGGTATTGTTCTAGATGCTGGAGTACATTAGTGAGAAAAAAACACAGAAAAATCCCTGCCCACATTCTCAATGGGAGAGACATTCTCAATGGGAGACAAGCAATAAACATTCTCAATGGGAGACAAGCAATAAACAAGATAAAATGTTTGTGCACATGTGTGTGGCCATAAATGCTTAGGAGGAGGTAGAGTCACAAAGGGGCATGTAAAATGGAGGATGGATAGGTTTAAAATGTTAGATGGGGGCCAGATTAAGCCTCACCAAAGAAATATTTGCATAAAAGACGGAAGTGAAGGATCTGCCCATATGGATATTTGGGGGAAAATAATTTGACGCAGGAGGAAACAGTAAGTGTGAATGCCAAGAAGTGGGACCATGCCTGACCAATTAATGTGTGAAAGGTAGATGGCCCTGGTAACTTTCACCTGGCATGTACATCTTTGCTTAATCTCCTTTCACACTGAGTTGTTGCTGGCCCAGTGTGATCAAAGAATACCATGGAAGTGGTGATGTGTGACTTCTGAAGCTAAGTCATAAAAGGCATTGCAGCTTTTTCCTTGATTGCTTGGATTGCTCGCTCTGGGGGAAGCCAGCTGCTGTGTTGTGAGAACACTCAAGTGGCCTGTAGAGAAGTTCCTGGGCCCTCACTGAGACAGTACCTACTTGGCCACCTATGTGAGTGAGCCACCTTGGATGTGGGTCCTCCAGCTTCAGTCCAGCCTTCAGGTGACTGCAGCCTTAGTTGAAATCTTGACTATAACCTGTGGAAAGACCCTGAGTGAGAACTCCTTACTGACCCCTTTCTTAAGTCTTGACCAGCAGAAACCATGAGAATAAATGGTTGTTTTAAACTGCCAAATTTTATGGTGCTTGTTTTGCAACACTGGATTACTAAAAACCTCAGGAAACATTAAAGAGGCAAGAGTAGCAGTAAGGCAGTGAATGTGGGGAGAAGTAGCAGGAGGTAAGTTCAGAGAAGTGTGAGGGTCCAGATCACATGGGGCTTTGTAGGTCATGGAAAGAACTTTGACTTTTATGTTAGATGGGAAGTCATTGTAGACTTTTGAACAGAGGAGTAACATGGTCTGACTTGGATTTTAATAGGATCTCTCTGGCTGCTGTGTTGAGGTATAGAATGCATAGGGGCAGAAGCAGAGAAGCCAGGTCGGAGGCTATTGCAATAATCAAGAAAGAGGTGATAATAGACCAGAACAGTAGCGGTGAGTGTAGTAAGAAGCCATAGAATTCTGGGTATGTTTTTTTTTTTTTTGAGACAGAGTCTCGCTTTGTTGCCCAGGCTAGAGTGAGTGCCGTGGCGTCAGCCTACCTCACAGCAACCTCAAACTCCTGGGCTCAAGCGATCCTCCTGCCTCAGCCTCCCAAGTAGCTGGGACTACAGGCATGCGCCACCATGCCCAGCTAATTTTCTCTATATATATTAGTTGGCCAATTAATTTCTTTCTATTTATAGTAGAGACAGGGTCTTGCTTTTGCTCAGTCTGGTCAGGCGATCCTCCTGCCTCAGCCTCCCAAGTAGCTGGGACTACAGGCATGCACCACCATGCCCGGCTAATTTTTTCCATATATATATTAGTTGGCCAATTAATTTCTTTCTATTTCTAGTAGAGATGGGGTCTCGCTCTTGCTCAGGCTGGTTTCGAACTCCTGACCTCGAGCTATCTGCCCGCCTTGGCCTCCCAGAGTGCTAGGATTACAGGCGTGAGCCACCGCGCCCGGCCAGAATTCTGGGTGTTTTAAAGGTAGAACCGACAAGATTTGCTCACTGACCAAGATGTAGGGTGTGAAAGAGAAGAGTTGAGAATGACATGATGGTTTTTGGCCATAGTAACTAGAAGAGTTGAGTTGGTGTTGGCCAGGCTTGGTGGCTCATGCCTGTAATCCTAGTACTCTGGGAGGCTGAGGCGGGAGGATTGCTTGAGTCAGGAGTTCAACATCAGCCTAAGCAAGAGTAAGACCCCGTCTCTACCAAAAAGAAAAAGAAAAAGTAACAAAACTCTAGCTGGATGTTGTGGCATGCGCATGTAGTCCCAACTACCTGGGAGGCTGAAGCAGAAGGATTGCTTACAGCCCAGGAGTTGGAGCTTGTAGTGAGCTATAGTGACACATGGTGAGGCTCTGTCTCAACATAAAACAAGGCTAAGAATTGAGTTGGTATTTACCTGATGGCAAGACTACAGGAAGGACCTAGGCTGATGGGATGGGGTGATATCTGGAGTTTGGTCTGGATGTGTTCAAGTTAGAAATACCTATAACATATTCAAGTAGATATGGCAAGTTAGTAAATTAGATAAGTAGGCCTGAAATTCTGGCAAAGTGGTCCAGGCTGAAGATAAAAAGTTTGGGAGTCATTTTTGCTATTTAAAGTCATTGGAGGAGGTGGTGTAGCAACTGAGAATAGATAGGAAAATAGGCCCAAGATCAGAGACCTGAGAGCAGTCTGGGTTCATTTAGAGCTCAGGAGGGGGAGTGAGAAGAGGCTGAAAAGGAACAGCAAGAGTGGTAGGAGGAGACTAAGTGAGCCTAGTGCCATGGGAGCCAAATGAAGAAAGCATTTTGGGAGCAGGGTGCCCGCTGGGGTCAGGTAGTGCTGATATGGCATAGGTACGATGAGAATTGAAAAGTAACCATTGAGTTTAGCAATATGACAGTCCTTGGTGACCTTGAGAGTAATATTTTATGTAAAACTTTTGAACAGTAAAAGCAATATAGTGCTTATGGTAATGGTGAACTAGGTATTTGAACCAACATTCCTGCTGAAAACAAGTTAAAAAGCTGGAGAGAATGTAAAAATCATCCTTTTGAAAGTATCAAAGAACTAACATGACAGTGAAGAATTAATTACCTTGCCAAGATCAGGGAAAGGATTAGAGCTCAGAAGGATAAGCTGGTGATACTTATGCACTACAGGTAACTGCAAAGGTAACTCTAGAGAACTCAGCTGAGAGATAGAGTGAACCTTTGAACTGGACTAACAAGGGTCAGAGTCTGGTGCTGCCAAGAATAGGAAATAACCACCTGCTCAGGGCTGGTACTCAGGGAAGGCTATACCTTGGGAGTGAAGCAGGGAGTGTACACCATCTGATCATTTGTGTTTACTGCGTAACTCTAGCCTTGGTCCTGAACTGCTAGGTGCTGCAAGGTGCTCTTTGGCACCTTGCAGAAGAAAGTAAAAATTCTCTCTTGAAGATATAATATCATCTTCACTTTATACTGTTTGTTTTTGTTTAGAGACAGGGTGTCTTTCTGTCGTCACCCACGCAAGAGTGCAATTGTCTGATCATAGTTTGCTGTAACCTGAACTCCTGGACTCAAACAATCCTCCTGCCTCAGCCTACTGAGTAGCCAGGACTATAGGCATGTGCCACCACGCCTGGCTAAATTTTTTTTTTGGAGGGATAGGGTCTTGCTATGTTGCCCAGGCTGGTCTGGAACTCTTGGCTTCAAGCTGTCCTCCCATGAGCTGCCACACCTGGCCAGTTTAAAGAAAAGATATCTAAAAGGGGGGATCACGTGAGGCCAGGAGTTTGAGAACAGCCTGAGCAACATAGAATTTGTCTCTACAAAAATTAGAAAAATTAGCTGGGCATAGTGGTATGCACCTGTAGTCCCAGCTACTCTCAGAAGGCTGAGGCAGGAGGATCGCTTCAGCCCAGGCATTTGAGGTTGCATTGAGCTATGATAACCACTGCACTCTTACCCAGGCAGTAGAGTGAGACCCTGTCTCAAAACATAAAACAAAAATAAATAAATACATAAATAAAATGCACATGAGATTAAGAAAATTTAGCAAAAACAGATACTGGAAGTGTATGACCATAAAACAACTGTGCTTACTAGAAGGAACAGTAGTTTTAACAATAAACTGGACTATAGTAACATTATAGATTTGGAGAACTAAAAAGACATTGTAGAATTAAAAAATGGCAATAAGGAAAATTGAATGAATTGCCTTAACTATAGGTTTGGTGAGGCTGAGGAGAGACTTAGTAAACTCGAGGTAGTTTGGAAGAAACTATCTAGAATGAAGCAAGCATAGACAAAATGATGGAAAATACAGGTAAGAGGGCTGTGGAACCTAGAGGATTCGGTGAATAATTGGAGTTTTAGAATAAGAAGGGACAAAGAGAATGGAGGAGAAGCAGTTTTTGAATTGCTGAGAATTTTCCAAAACTGATCAGTTATCAAACCACAGATTCAAGAAGCCCCACAAGGCTGGGGTGCGGTGGCTCACGCCTGTAATCCTAGCACTCTGGGAGGTCGAGGCGGGCAGATTGCTTGAGGTCAGGAGTTTGAAACCAGCCTGAGCAAGAGCGAGACCCCCGTCTCTACTAGAAATAGAAATTAATTGGCCAACTAATATATATAGAAAAAATTAGCCGGGCTTAGTGGCACATGCCTGTAGTCCCAAGCTACTCGGGAGGCTGAGGCAGCAGGATTGCTTGAGCCCAGTAGTTTGAGGTTGCTGTGAGCTAGGCTGACGCCATGGCACTCACTCTAGCCAGGGCAACAAAGTGAGACTCTGTCTCAAAAAACAAAACAAAAACAAGAAGCCCCACAAAACCAATGCAGAATCTGTGAAAAGAAAACTGGACCTAAACACATCATAGTAAAACTGATGAAAAACCAAAGATAGAATATCTTAAAAGCATTTAGAGGAAAAAAATGTTGGATTGACAACTTAGTTTTCAGCAACACTAGAAGTAGATAAGTTGGAAATACAGCTTCAAAGTGCTAAAAATGTAGCTGGCAGTAGAATTCTCTACTCAGTGAAAATATCCTTCAAGATTAAAACTAGACAAATTGATGATGTAACTATACTAAAGCAAATTTAAAAGGTATTTAGTTAGCAGAAATTGATTTAGGTGGAAACTTAGAGATACAGGAAGGGTGATTGGTAAGTATGTGAGTACATCCAAGTGAGTGCTGATGAAAAAAATTAATAAAAAATGGCTCATGAACTTAAAATATCCATACATAAAATTTTAACAGCATTCAATATTACACAATAAAACAACTGTGCTTATTACAAGGAACTGTATTTCTAATAATAAACTGGACTATAGCAACATTGGAGATTTGCAAAAGAAAAGATTACAGATTTGCAACAAATAAACTGGAAGGGAGAAAGTAGATTAAAGAGTTCTAAGGTTATAGCAATATCTGGAAGGAGAGCAAAGCTAAACACTAACATAGACTTGACAGGCTAAGGATACATGTTGTATTTTCTAGGGTGGTGCTCCCCAGCATTTTTGGCACCAAGGACCGGTTTCATGGAAGACAATTTTTCACAGTTGGGGGCGTGGTGGGAGGATGGTTTCAGGATGAGTCAAACATACTACATTTATTGTGCAGTCAAACTTCTGCTAATTATAATCTGCATTTGCAGCCACTCTCCAGTGCAAGGCATCACAGCCTTAACTCCACCTCAGATCATCAGGCATTAGATTCTCAAAAGGAGCATGCAACCTAGATCCCTCACATGCGGTTTACAGTAGGGTTCACGCTCCTATAAGAATCCGATGCCACTGCTGGTCTGACAGGAGGTGTAGCTTATGTGGTGATGCAGTGATGGGGAGCGGTTGTAAATACAGATGAACCTTCCACTGGCTCACCTGCCGCTCACTTCCTTCTGTGCAGCCCTAGGTTTCTCAGTGGGGATTGGAGACTGCAGTTCTGGGATATTCAGTCAAAAGATAGAACAAGTGTGTAATTCCTAATGAATGGAGGAAAGAATGGAATGATAAATTACTTTTTAAAGCAATGAAGATGGAAAAGAAGAACCTAGACTATGCAGAACAGAGAGCACATAGGAAATGGAAGCAGACAAAATCCAGAAAGTGAGACTTTCTCCAAGTTTGTTTTTTTTCCTTAAAGAAATGTCATGGATAAATAGGAATGGCAGAATATCTTGGGTAAAAAGATATTTGAGACATTGCCTCAGCCTCTCAAAGTGCTGGGATTATAGGCATGAGCCATTGTGCCTAGCCTTTTCATAGCACTTTTAGCTTCTTGACACATGTGTTTTGTTTGTCTATCTGTCTTCCCTTACTAAAGGGATCATGCTCATAAAACTTTTGCTCTCTGCTGTATTTCCTGATTCTAGAATGGTACCTGGTAGATAATGAGTTCGGTTTTTAAAAATAGGAGCCATTGAAAAAGACATTACATGAGTGTTGACTTCTTTTAAGTGATTTGTATTTGTTGTCCTAGGATATAAATAACTCTTTAAAATTATAGATATGGGTTGTTTCTAATTGATTTAGACTCTGTTCTAATGTTAGAAATTTACAGACCCGAGACCCTTTTTAATAGACAGGAGAAAATGTGAAGTTACTAAATACAGTTGAAATAACATATAGATGTTGCATAAAATGCAGGTATTTCCAAGTTAATACATATTCCTATCTGGGTGCTTTTGTTTTCTCTCTTCAAGTGGGAGCTGGTGAGGTGGCCAACTTCGCTGCATACGCGTTTGCACCAGCCACGCTAGTGACTCCACTAGGAGCTCTCAGTGTCCTAGTGAGGTAAGGAGACACTACATTTTACATGCAGAAACAGATTTCAGTACTGCCTACTTACATGTGTTAAACATTACATTTCAACGACCTCGAAGACTTGGGTTTTTACACTACGTATTAATGTGCTTTTACCTTCTGTGCATGGCCAAGCTGTTGATTTGTGGGAGAAAATGCTTTGTCTTGGTTATATTCAGAGCCAGCACTAGTTCTACTTTTTCAGTTTCTTACAATTCCAAGTTACACTGTCCCAACATTTATTGGGACATTCAGTGTATACACACTTTGGTGTAGGGCATGGTTGGTGATGAGTAGATTTCTCCACCTGTCCTGGGGTGCTCATTTTGAAGGAGTGGTCCTGTTTGTGTTATTTTTGATTATTAACCCAAGCAACCAATCCCATATTGAAGTATGGATTTTGGTTACTTGTCCTAACGTTGATTGTTAGATATTTTTATTTTTCAAGAAACTCTATGTAAAATAGTTATGGTACAAGTCATTACTCTTTACATTTAATTTTCTTTATATTGTACTGTTATTATATTTGTGAGTTTTTATAGTATTTTTTTTTTTTAGGTTTGGATAAAACTAGCTATATGTTATTAAACTTGATAACTTAATTAATAGGCAGATTATATATAAATAAATGAACACATAAGGATGTATCAGCCAGTAGGAATAAATTAAAGCTGAGCAAATTTTAAGCATTGGATTAGATACATAAGTTTTGTTTTTTTTTTTAACAGAATCTCACTCACACCCAGGCTAGAATGCAGTGCTGCAATCATAGGTCACTGCAGCCTTGAACTCCTGGGCTCCAGCGATCATCTTCCCTTAGCCTCCTCCTTCCTTAGCCTCCTGGGTAGCTGGGACTACAGGTGCATGCCACCATGACTGGCTAATCTTTTTATTTTTAAATTTTTTTGTAGAGACTGGGTCTTATCATGTTGCCCAGGCTGGTCTCGAACTCCTAGGCTCAAGCGATCCTCCCACCTTGCCCTCCCAAAGTGCTAGGGTTACAGGCTTGAGCCACCATGCCTGGCCAGATATAGATTCTTTTTTTTTTTTTTTTGAGACAGAGTCTCACTTTGTTGCTCAGGCTAGAGTGAGTTCTGTGGTGTCAGCCTAGCTCACAGCAACCTCAAACTTCTGGGCTCAAGCGATCCTACTGCCTCAGCCTCCCCAGTAGCTGGGACTACGGGCATGTGCCACCATGCCTGGCTAATTTTTTGTATATATATTTTTAGTTGGTCGATTAATTTCTTTCTATTTTTGGTAGAGACTGGGTCTCGCTCAGGCTGGTTTCGAACTCCTGACCTTGAGCGATCTGCCCTCCTCGGCCTCCCAGAGTGCTAGGATTACAGGCGTGAGCCACCATGCCTGGCCTAGATTCTTAATTAGGACATAAATTTGTACAACTAGCTCTTTATTATAAATTTCATATAGACTTTTTGTAGTAGAAAAATGGCGGTAGTGTTTAATGAAGCAGATGATTTCCTAGAAACTTTTTGATTTTATGATTGAATATGCATTTTCTTTACCTTGCTTGAAAGCCGGCCAGAATCTTCGTAAGCACACAGCGTTTTAGTTTGAGTTCAATGGTTTAAATTCCAAGTTGTGTTGATACTTGAAAATGAGAAAAAGTACCTGATTATTTTAAAATTCTTGATCTTTTTTCTTCCTGTTTTAGTGCCATTCTTTCTTCGTACTTTCTAAGTGAAAGACTTAATCTTCATGGGAAAATTGGGTGTTTGCTAAGTATTCTAGGATCCACAGTTATGGTCATTCATGCTCCAAAAGAAGAGGAGATCGAGACTTTAAATGAAATGTCTCATAAGCTAGGTGATCCAGGTAAGAAGAAAGAAAAGCTTTATTGGTGTTATTGTGTTTTACTTCTTAGTTTTTATTTCAATCAAAATATAATGTGCACATAAGGAGATAAATTGTTTTATATGGCTGATTATGAAAATATAGTCATGTTTCCCATTCCCTCCCGTCCCTAACCCTTTGTTTCTTTTCTACTCTTAGTATTTTCAAACACATTAGGTATTTTTAGTTTCATTTCTAGAAACGTCTCGTCCAGTGCCTCTGTCTGGCCTTAGTTGAGGCTGTCAGCAGTTGTCATCTGTATTTTCCTTCATCAGTATCCTGGGGAGTCCCTTGACTAGTGGCTTTTTCCTGGATGCCTTCTTTCCTAAATCCTGGATTTGCTTCTTAATCTTCGGTGGTGCCACTATAGTAGTAGAAGAGAAAGGGCACAGAGGAGATGAGTTTTTGAGACCTGGTATATCTCAAAATATCTTTAACCTACCGTGTTGCTGTTGAGAAATCAAAGGATGATTCTTTATCTTTTATATCTGACCAATTATTTTGTCTTTGGAAGCATGTTGGATATTCTTTTTGTCCTTGGTGTCTGGAAATCCCTCCCTGACATGCCTAGATGTGGGTCCATTTTTTGTCCATTGTGCTAGGTATCTGACAGGTGGGTTTTTTTTTTTTTTTGAGACAGAGTCTTGTTCTTTCACCCAGGCTGGAATGCAATGGCATTATCACAGCTTCTGGGCTCAAGTTAGGCTGAGCTCCTGTCTCAGCCTCTCAAGTAGCTGGGACTACAGGCACATGCCACCACACCCAGCTAATTTTTGTTTAGAGATAGCCTCGCTCTTGCTCAGGCTGGTCTTGAACTCCTGACCTCAATCAATCAATCCTGCCTCGGCCTCCCAGAATGCTAGGATTACAAGTGTGAGCCACAGGGCCATCACCTGGTCCTGATGGGTCTTTTTAATTTGAAAATTTATGTCTTACTCTGAGGAACTGAATTATTTCTTTTGCTATTCTTTACTGTTTTCTCTTTGTTGAATTATTATTCATCTGTTAATTGGAATTCATGAGCTAGACCATTAGTTCTCTTATTTTTTTTCCCCTCATTTTCATTACATTGCCTTTTTGCTCTGCCTTCTGGGATATCTGTTTTATCTTTTAGCCCTTTTGAGTTTTTTTTCCTCCTGTTAGATTTTTAATTTTAAAGTTTGCTTTGTTCTTTGATTCTTAGTTATTTTAAAGTCTTTGCTAATGTCAGGATTATTTGTGGCCCTATTTCTATAGTTTATTTTTCCTTTTGGCTTTTAGGCATTTAGTTTTGTCCTTTGTCATTTTTGATTGAATGCTAGACATAAGATATTAAAAAGCATAAAGGTTCTGAGTGATGTGTTTTTCCTTCAGAGAGAACTTATTGGGTCTTGACTTGGGCCCTATTACTTGGGTAGCTATGAGCTCTAGTACCTGCTCCTCAGTAAGATAAGACCACTGAAATCTCCACTCAGTCCTGCGGTCTGTTGGCCAGGCTTTCCACTTGGCTCCTCTGACTTTGGCTGTGCAGGTTATGTGCCCACAAAAGCCATAAGGGGAAATGTACACAGAAATTTGGGCTCCCTACTCTGTAATTCCCTCCTTTCTGGATCTTGGCCCATTAAGTCTCAGCTGCTAATAAGGCAGTCCCAAATTCCAACTTGTTTTTACCTAGTCCACTGAAAATTCCACAAGTTTTGACTGGCCTTTATGCCTATCCTTACCCTTTGTGTTGGCGGTTGCCCCAAGGGAAAAAGCAGAAGTAAAGATTGGGCTGATAGTTCTCTTTTTTCTGAATTTCGGCCCCTTAAGTCCTGGCTGCTTTGATTGCTCTTTAGTACCCTCAAATAAATGTTTCTTTTTTGTTTGGGGGTTTTTTGGTGTGTTTTGTTTTTGTAGTTCATCCATTTTCTGTAGCTGTTTTAGGTGCAAAATTAGTCTGTATTTCACTATTGTCTCTCTGAGGATATTAATGGTAGTTTTCTTGGTTTTGGGGAGATGGTGTATATATCTTGAAGTGTTTATCTTACAGTTTTCTTCTGTCTGTATGGAAGAAACAAAGGCTTTGCATTTTTCTGTTTATTTTGGCCTCTCTCTTAGTGGTCTTTGCTTTCTTTTATTTAACAGTTTGGCTGGTCAGATCCCCAGCAGAAAAGCTTATAGTTCCTGCTTGGCCATAGGCATCCAGGGAGTGGAGTGGGGAGGAGGGGTTAATACCCAGATGTACATCTTACCCTGGCTGGGTGTTATCCAGTGCAGACACTGTCTGCTGGGGAAGGGGCGGGACAGTCTCCCAGACCTAGACATGAGTCTCATTGCTTCTTGAAGACTTTGCAGCTAGGCCTCATTCTCAGTCTTGCTTTCATGTCCACTTCAGACTACTTTGTACCGTTGAGCATTCTGTGCTGCAACCTGAGTCACTTTTTAATCTTTGATCACTGCTAATATAGGATTCAGCTTTCTTGGATCTGCTATCAATGTATCAGTTATTAGTTGTCCTCTGCTTTCTGACTTATAAAATATTGTTGCTATATCTGTTTTTGTGTATTTGCTTCTTTAGAAATCCTTGTATCGTTTATTAGTGGAATTTGAGGAAGGGACAGAGTAAATGCATATCACTGCTCTGTGCCTCAGTATCCTCATCTTAACATGCCAAGTGTTACTACCCGTATTTTAGGGTAGTTGAGTGCAAATTGCTGAGAAAAGTTCCTGACCCACAGTACTGCACCGTCGTTGGCTTTTATCATGCTGGCTTCAGTTCTCCATGTTCAACCAGAATGCCTACAATATTTTTCAGGTTCTCTAATTGACTGCTGTTTACTCCAGTAGTTATCCCTAAATATTAAAAAATTTTATCCTTTTTCTGAAAAACTCTTCTGTTTGTTTTCAGCATCTATAAATTGTTGAGCACTCAAGGCCATCTCATGATTACTCCCCCTCTAGTTTCTGTCCCTGTTCTGATCCACCTATTCTCCTTGCCTCGTTAGAGCACTTAAGTAGGCATCAGATGCTACCTAAGAAATGTCAGTGGAGGCCGGGCACAGTGGCTCACACCTGTCATCCTAGCACTTTGGGAGCCCGAGGTGGGCGGATTGCTCAAGGTCAGGAGTTCCAAACCACCAGAGCAAGAGCGAGACCCCTGTCTCTACTATAAATAGAAAGAAAGAAATTGGCCAACTAATATATATAGAAAAAATTAGCCAGGCATGGTGGTGCATGCCTGTAGTCCCAGCTACCGGGGAGGCTGAGGCAGAAGGATCGCTTGAGGCCAGGAGTTTGAGGTTGCTGTGAGCTAGGCTGATGCCACAGCACTGACTCTAGCCTGGGCAACAAAGCGAGACTCTCTCAAAAAAAACTGTCAGTGGAATAACAATTTGTGAATACGAAGCATGTTTTAATCTTCCAGCATGTACAACTAAGTAAATTCTCAGAATACTCTTGCTGCGGCATCAAAAATAAAGCAGGTTTGTGTTTTCAGGCTATGCCTTTTCTCCTTCCAGTAAGAGTGTATCATATCTTGTTTTGGATTATCTGTGTTTAAGAACATCTGACTGAATATTTGATTAAATATAACTTTTCTTTGCCTCCCCCAGGTTTTGTGGTTTTTGCAACACTTGTGGTCATTGTGGCCTTGATACTAATCTTTGTGGTGGGTCCTCGCCATGGACAGACAAACATCCTTGTGTACATAACAATCTGCTCTGTAATCGGGGCGTTTTCCGTGTCCTGTGTGAAAGGCCTCGGCATCGCCATCAAGGAGTTATTTGCTGGGAAGCCTGTGCTGCAGCGCCCCCTCGCCTGGCTGCTGCTACTGAGCCTGGTGGTCTGCGTGAGCACCCAGATCAACTACCTGAACAAGGCCCTGGACATATTCAACACATCCCTTGTGACACCGATATATTACGTGTTCTTCACAACATCAGTTTTAACTTGTTCAGCTATTCTTTTTAAGGAGTGGCAAGATATGCCTGTTGATGATGTCATTGGTACTTTGAGTGGCTTCTTTACAATCATTGTGGGGATATTCTTGTTGCATGCCTTTAAAGACGTCAGCTTTAGTCTAGCAACTCTGCCTGTGTCTTTTCGAAAAGATGAAAAAGCAATGAATGGCAATCTCTCTAATATGTATGAAGTTCTTAATAATAATGAAGAAAGTTTAACCTGTGGAATCGAACAACACAATGGTGAAAATATCTCCCGAAGAAATGGAAATCTGGCAGCTTTTTAAGAAAGAAGTAATTAAAAGGTCAGTCTATAATTCTGTTTAAAGTGAATCTGAATATCAGAATGTGTTTGAAAAAGCATTGTCCTCAAATAATGTTCTTTAAAGACAATCTTTTTTAGGGTTTAATTATTAATAATTTGGACCAAGAATTTTAAACAATGGTAGCTCACTAAAATGACCTCAAGTAAATGACAAGTTTCTATTAACATTGTATTGTAGAGATATTTTACATTTTGATTCCTTCTCCAAAATTTAAATGCACTAATGACAGTCTTAAGTGTATAAAAAATGCTTTATTTTTTCATTGGTGATGAAAGTCTGAAATGTACATTTGTCATCCCTACTCCACCAATCCCTGACCATCCAATTATGGCATTTTTATTTTAAGAAAGAACAAAATTATCCCAATACATGATCCTGTGATTTACCTTACCTATTAAAAGGCCTCCTGTCTGATGAATGATTTTAATTTTCAAATGTTTAAGGGAAAACTAAGTTAATGAAGTAAATCTTACAAAACAAAGGTAGGAAATCATCCCAAGAAAGTATTTCTCAGGCTGTGCTTGTCACCACAAATCCAGTTCCTGTGTGTATTCGATGGCCTTCTGAGACAGTACCTTTTCGAATCAGGGCACCCTGTGTCTATTTGGCTGGGCTCTGTTTTGCAGCCTGGCTGGGTTTATTCTTTAGTTCCTCTAATCCCGTGATACTGGGAACCTTGATTACCATTTTACATCAACTCTTGTACTTTTCAGTATATTTTCATAATGAGTTATATTGTCATTTAGACCTTAACAACTCTGGGAAATAAAATCAGAAGACTAGGGTTATTTCTTACATTTAGTTCATGTTATAATAAAAAGACAAGTTGAAACAATATTCTTTTCCAAGTCTGAATGCTTAGAACAATCTTTAAATGTTTGTAAAATATGGTCTCTCTGTACCAAGTATTTTACTTTGCTTAAGAGTTTGTTGGGACCATTACAAATTTTGCTCTTTAAAAAATGCTTATGGAAAATTTCAAAGAACATATTAAAAAAATGTAGAATAATAAAAAAGGTATAATGAACTCTATCTAGCATTTAAACCTCTCCACCCCTAGCCATTCATTGGCTCTTAAGAAAAAAAAAGTGTTGATAGAATTAATTTCTACCTGGGTGGTGGGAAGAACATGGGGCTCAGGCCTATCCCAGTCTGCTGCTCCTGCCTGGTTACACAGTGATGGGTCAGCACTGAGCCACCCTCGGCACTCCCAGGGCTCCCCTACCCGTGGTGCTGACATCACATGCAGCCCTCCATTGGCTTCACCATGGGCAGGGGAGCCCAGGAGCTGTTTTACTTTTTCCTGCCTCCTTCCCATGTAATTTTTTTGGTTTTGGTAGAGATACAGGGTCTTGCTATGTTGCCCAGGCTGGTCTTAAACTCCTAGCCTCAAGCAATCCTCCCACGGTTACAGTATGAGCCAATGTACCCAGTCAACCTCATGTAATTTTAATACCACAGATACACTGTATATTTATGTACTATATCTGTGCTTTGTACATAAAGGAAACAATTTTCACCCCCTTGGGGGTGGCAGGGCCCTGAGAATGCGTCTCACTTTTGCTGCCGGGGTTAGAGTGCCATGGCGTCAGCTTAGCTCACAGCAACCTCAAACTCCTGGGCTCAAGCGATCCTACCTCAGCTTCCCAAGTAGCTGGGACTACAGGCATGCACCACCATGCCTGGCTAATTTTTTTTATATATATTAGTTGGCCAATTTCTTTCTATTTATAGTAGAGACAGTCTCTTGCTTGTTTTGAACTCCTGACCTTGTACAATCCACCCGCCTCTGCCTCCCAGAGTGCTAGGATTACAGGCGTGAGCCACCATGCCCAGCCAAAACTAAAACTCTTAACATTTTATAGTTTTATAAGTATTGATTTTATTTGATATAATTATCTTAAAACTTAATATAAACTAGTTATTAATTTTTCATTATATTCTGTAGTTTAGTAGGGTGAGCACAGCTATCACCTCTTACTCTGTAGCAAAATGCTAGCCCCTGGGTTTTTTAATTCACATTACCAAAAGCATCGTCTTTAGGTAACTTTATAAACAATAGTTCTGTTAAACTTCATGTAATTCAGGGTCAACAGTACAACAGAATAGCTCATACGCTTTCTGTGCCATACTTGATGCTCCTGGACTTTGGTCTTAAGTTTCCAAAGGCATATGAAAGTACTACTTTTTATGGCAACATGGCATCCATAGAAAATTTTAGCATTGCTGAATTTTGTGACACTCTAATGTAAAATGACTGCCAGGTTAAGAGGTAAAATAAGTTTAGTTAGCCTTGTATTTGTGTGTGTCATTTACTTAACAATAGACGAACACTTTTTCATAAGGATTTTCAGAAACTTGTTGCCTTAATACTTTAAAATTCGGCTTTAGTTTCTCAATTCTTATCCATTTCTATGACTCTAGTAGTGTATTAGACTCTGATTATCTTTTATTTAGGCAGATCACATGAACTAACTCCAGACACGTGAAGCAATTCAATTCACCCAGCAGTTGGGAAGGCCAGCTGAGGGCTGTTAGGGATGGGACTCAAATTCTCCTGTGTCCCTTTTGTGCATCATCCACTGTCCCAGGTCAGTCTCCTCCCAAGCTTCCAGCCTCTCCAAGTCATGGACGCTTGTAACATAGAGACGCTTAGAGCTCTTCTGCACTGGAGTGGCCATCACAACTGCTTTTTTACATCTCATTTACCTGTGGAAACCTAAATATAAAGCTAACCATGTGTGCTGAATGGTGTCACAATCTTGTCCTACCTCGTAACCCTGGAGGTGCCCTGGACTCCGACCTGGGTCTAGCCCGTGAGCTCAGATAATTAAGGTACCTTGCCCAAGCCAAGCTGCGCAGGGTTGTAGTAAAGGAAAAAACGCAAATAAATTTCATTAGTTTTATTTCTATAACCTTTAAGTCATACCTCACAAATTAGATTTTGTCACAACTGGATTTAGTAGAAGCAGATAAATCAAGTTCACTATTTTCTGAAACACTGACACAAAAAGGGAAGGAAACAATGACTTATAAAAGATTGTTCATAGAAGACCATCAGAAAAATCCCTAAACAAAAGCTAAATAGTTAATCATTAATGGTAATTGGTAAAGAATTTTAATACATTAGCTGGTATTAAGTTTTGTAAAAAGGGATAAATGAATGCACTCAGCAGCATTATAGGACAGCTGCTAGAACATTCCATAGAAAGACTGAGAATAATTTTGTAAGAACACTGGCAACCAGCAGCCAGTATTCTCAGACTTCCTAGTTACCAAAAGCATATACAATCTTAGTCTAGAAAAATAAGTCAATTTTATAAAATTAAGCTTTTAAACTGAGAAGCACCCCCTTTAACAGGTACAGAGATACTGAAAAATAGTCCCTAAAAATATCACTAAATAGTTTTTTACAGAACGAAAGACATGCCATTAGAGTTACCAAATGCCCTCAGCCCAGGCTGGTGCCCTCAGCTGCTGGCTAGAGACTGGTGGATGGGTGGCTGGAAGCAGCGCACGTGCTCCACGGGCGTGCTCTCCCCGTCCCCTGACTTCAGGTACTTGTCCAGGATGGTGATGATCTCATCATTGAGAATCTGGAACTTGCGAATTCTCTCCACCATCTTCTTCAAAGGCTACGACAATTAAAGTCAAGAGGTTTTACCTTTAATACTTGTACAGTTACTCTTCATGTTCAAAATGTCAGGATTTTCATATTTTCTCAGAAAAACTACAGCAAATGTTAATGACTATATAATATACTATCTCTTTAATGCAAACTACTGGAACAATGAATATATTTTGAATTTAAACATATTTCTCTTGTTGGTTTCATGCTGCTAACTGTGGATTCACTCATTTGTAACAACTTACAAGCCTATGCATTCAACAGTCAGCAATTAAAAACCTGCCTGCTAAAAGCTGGGAAAAGATGATGATATGGTGAGTGGAGAAAGACCAGTAAACTAATATAATACAAGTTTTAGACTTCCAGTTTGATAATATTAACAGACCTGGATAAGGAATACACGCAAAGTGAAAACTCAAAGCATTGCTGGCTCTGCTTGTGCGGGCAGGAAAGCACGAGCCGGGGCTTCCTCAGGTGCAGAGGCTAACAGCAGCAGCGGGTGAGGAGACAGCTGAGCTACATCTGGGGACTGTGATGCCAGGACTCTCTGATTAGGCTAGCGTGACCCAGGGTGGTGGTAACCCCTGGAGAAGAACAGCAACTCTTGGGAGGAAAGCAGTCTAATTAAGTTTGATCAAATAAGAGCTCCCAAATAAAAAAATCCAATACACAAGGAAATGTTTCAGATATCCCCAAGGCCTTCAGATACTAGAATTAAAAGATATCGAATATAAATTACATGAAATGTGTAAAGAAATAAGAGATGGAAAAAATTCAGTTAAGATAAAATTATCAATTTAACCAAAATGAACTTTAAAAAAATAAACTAATTTTTGAAAGTAAAAATCTAGCAGATCAGACGCAGCTGAAGTGAATGAATTACCCGAGCCATCTGAAGAAAGCACTCTGGATACAGCCAAGATCCTGAGAGCCAAGGATGTGGGGGCGTGCAAGGCAGAACAGCCCTTCAGACATCTACTCCCGACCCTGGAACCTGTGAGTGTGCTGCCTTACGTGGCAAAGGGGCCCTGCAGGTGAGGCTGAGGTTAGGGACTTTAAGGTATAGAGTGTACCCTGGGCCCAATCTAATCACATGCACAGAGAACATTCTCTAGCTGGAGGCAGAAGACATGTGGCAGAAGTGAACATCGGAAGATTAGAAGTGGAGACTGCTCGAGCTGCTGTTGCTGGAGTGGCCACATGTAAAGCATGAGAGGGGATGGGGACCTAAATCCTACCACTTCAAGAAATTGAATTCAACCAACTACCTGAATGAGCCTGGAAGCAGATTCATCCCCAGGGGCTCCAGGGGGAACACACCCCCACTGACACGTTGATTTGGGCTTTGTGAGACTGTAAGTGGAGGACACAGCTGGGCCATGCTGGGCCCAGACTTCTGACCTAGAGAACTGTGAGATAATAAATGGTGTTTAAACCGCTAAGCCTGTGGTGACTTGTTATGGGAGCAAGAGAAAATTAATACAAGAGTGTGAGGGACATGAAGAAGAACAGTATAAGAAGGTCTGACGTGTGTAACTGAAGTCCTAAAGAGAGTGGAGAGAATGGAAGACAGGTTAAAATATTTGAAAAGATAATGGCTAAATATTTTCTAGAATTCAGCTACAAGGAATCCATAAAATGATAAAGACAAAAGATCTTAAAAGCAGTCTAAAAAAGCACACTTTGACTTGTAGGGAGCCAGAAGACTGGAATAGTATGCCAATATTCAGAAAACACAGATCGTATATTCTATAAGGTGAGATAAAAAGTAGATGTAAGTACCTAGGAAATGGAACAGTTAGTATTTTGTCTGCCAGACCGCTTTTCTTTTTTTTTTCTTTTTTTTTTTTTTTTGAGACAGAGTCTTGCTTTGTTGCCCAGGCTAGAGTGAGTGCCGTGGCGTCAGCCTACCTCACAGCAACCTCAAACTCCTGGGCTCAAGTGATCCTCCTGCCTCAGCCTCCAGAGTAGCTGGGACTACAGGCATGCGCCACCATGCCCGGCTAATTTTTTCTATATATATTAGTTGGCCAATTAATTTCTTTCTATTTATAGTAGAGACGAGGTCTCGCTCTTGCTCAGGCTGGTTTCGAACTCCTGACCTTGAGCAATCCGCCCGTCTCGGCCTCCCAGAGAGCTAGGATTACAGGCGTGAGCCACCGCGCCCGGCCCAGACCGCTTTTCTTAATAATTATATTTAGAGT